TTTTTTTTTTCCTTAAAACTTTTATCGTTTTCCATGAAAATTTTTGTCGTTTAACTTGTTCTTTTTTTCAGACATCTTTTCGAATTACCACTCCGTGATTTTAAATTGGAAAATAAGAATGACCGAGCCAGGCATGTATTTTCTGAACGGAGAGTGAATGGGAAAGTGTTCAACATCTAACGAGCGTCCTATTATATTGTGCTCCTTGATTTAGCGGAGCTGAGTGGGAGAGCAATCGTGCTCCGCGTATTTGGCATTTAGAGCAGTCGTGCTCGTCACATTTATCGTATTATGATTTTTTCTTAGTTTTTTTCCATGAGATTGGAATGACAGGATGTGGTCAGCAGAACATCATCTTGTAAATTATGGGATTTTTCATTAAATCGTTTTTCAGCGCAAGATTACATAGGTGCTTTAGTTGGATATCAGGAATATAAGTAACACTATTTTGACATGGTATTAAAAGCAAAAATTGTTAGGTATTTAGCTTGTTTTTTGTTTACCAACACTGTTTGTTTGCGGAGATGTGATCCTGCAGTTCCCTTACTGCAACTGCTGATCTTCTGTGCTTATCCATGTTATCAAATTATTTCACTTGAAGATGGGTTTTCAAGAAATTTTTGGTACAGGGTTATAATATTCTTTAGCCTATGGAAGTGTATGTTGATGATGAGGCAAAGTTAACCTTACATGGCTTGCAACAGCACTACGTGAAGTTGAAAGAGCAGGAGAAGAATAGGAAGTTATTGGAACTGCTCGATCATTTAGAATTCAACCAGGTTAGTTGGCCGAGGTCGTCCTCATACGCCGTTTAGTAATTGCTTAGCTCTCATAATCGATAAATTATTTTCGAAGCTTTTAAATGAAGACGGTTCTGTTTGCAGGTCGTTATTTTCGTTCGTTCTGTGCAGCGCTGTGGTGCTCTGAATACGTTGCTGTCAGAACAAAATTTCCCTAGCATTGCTATCCATCGTGGGATGCCACAAGAAGAGCGACTCTCTCGGTATCAGCAATTCAAAGATTTCCAGGTGACAGTTTTTGGCTGTTGACGGTTTTTCATAAGAAAGAGTTATGTTCATTGGAATCACTCCTTCAATTTCTCCAGGATAAGCGTAAGCAAACTCATCGTGCGAAGTTGGTTAAAAGTCAACTTTGTTACAAAAATGAGTCATTCTCCGGGTTTTAACTATTTTTAGAAGCGAATATTAGTTGCAACCAACCTTTTCGGTCGTGGTATGGATATTGAACGTGTCAACATCGTTTTCAATTACGATATGCCTGAAGACTCCGACACGTATCTCCATAGGGTTTGGCTAACAGTTGCTTTGTTTTCTCCTCTATTTTTTTGGGAGCTTACGCTGTGTAGTTTAGGTAGCTCGCGCAGGACGTTTTGGCACTAAAGGGCTTGCAATAACTTTTGTTTCTGATGAAAATGATGCAAAGATCCTAAATGATGTGCAAGATAGGTTTGACGTCACCATCACTGAATTACCTGAGGAGATCGAAGTGGGAACTTACCGTAAGTGTTGCAGCTCTCTTATTTTTTTTTCCTGTTTGCAGGGAAGTTCTAAATGTTTGGAAGCATTGCCAGTGATGCAGATATTTCTGAATGATTATTGATGATTTTTATTTCGTCACTACCACTGAGGCAACTGCGAACTAATTTTAAATATCCTCAAAGTTTTTTTTAAATGATTACCTCTCATAAGATCAATATTTTTTAGTTGAGGAACGGATGAAATGATGACTAACACGCGCTGCTGTATCTTTCTTTCGAATTTGTTTGTTGTTTTGTTGATTTATTGATCTATAGTGGCAGATGCGTTTGCCACTTATTTTCCACTTGAAATAATGTATATTGGTGATGTCGTACTGAATGCTAAATAAACTTTATCAAACTGCAGTTTTGCAAGTTTCATTGTCGTATAAAATTGGATAAAGAAGGGTGCTTCTCCGTTTTGCTGGTGCGTTTATCCACATCTGAAGAAAGTTACTTTTGGGGTCGGGAAGTTGTGTGGGTCGGAGGCCTTTTGGTGAAAGATTCGTTGGCTAGTCGGGGGCGGTAGGAATCAGATAGTTGGTTAACTTGATACTAGAAGGTAGTGGGTACGGTTGTTTGTTAAAAGTAGTTTGGTTTTTTTTTTGATGAGGAGTTCGGTCTAGGAAGTGGCTTATGTTGAGCATGGATTGCTTCTTTAGTAGTTGTGCTATCGCAAATGGTCGTCAGTAGTGCAGTTTGTTTTACTTAAGAAGCTGGGTGTTGTTTTCGTTTCCTTGGAGGGCAGATCGCTCTTTCGAAGGAGTGACATCGGCTTTCGGGTCGCATGGCTTAGACTTTTGATAAAGCAGGATATCGTGAGGCTCGACTTTGATGATTCACGATGATGGCTTTGGTGCTGGTTATGGGAATACCGGGAAGCGGAAAAACGACTCTGTGTAAGGACCTTGAGGTAATTTTGCATCTCATAACGATGGGTTCATTTTTTACCATTTATGGGGCGACTCCTTTTTCACGGGAAGGAGGAATCTCGTGTTTTTGCGTAAACTTGTGGTTGTGGAGTACTTGCTCTGTACTTTTTTAAGGCTTTGATTGGTCCTAATGCGTTACGGATTTCTTTTGATGAAGTTTTTGCCTACTGTCGTGTTACGGGTGAAGCTGAACCATGCTCATTGTTGGGGTGCCATGAGTATACTGGTTATCGCTCTTATGCTCGATTGGAGAGAAGGATTTGCGAATCTATGATACGGCATGGTTTAAATGTATGCCACAAGTAATTCATTTTTCTGTCAGTAAATTCGTTAGGCATGAAGTGACAGCGGTTTTGACCAATTTTTGTTTCATCTTTCCTCTCTCAGTCCGAAGATATACTTCACGAGTTTTCTGAGAGATTTTTAGATGATGGAAACCGAAGGTAAATTTTTTGTCCCGCCGTATGAGTCGGTCTTATGGAACATTTCTGACTCGTTTATTATTGTCGATGACATTTTCTACTTGCAAAGTATGAGACGTCCTTTCAAGAGGATGGCTAGAGCTCACTCTTTGTGTTATATTGTGGTGTATATGGACACACCCATTGATGTAGCAATTGATCGGAATTCTGGCCGTCCTCCAAAAGTAAAAGTTTTTTGTTTTCTATCAATTACCAGATTCTTGGTTATAGAAGACATCTTTTAGATGAATGCATTTCTACATTCTCCCTCATTAATTTGTACAACCGAGCAGACCATCTAATTTGTATTTTGTATTCGTTTGACTTTCTAGCTGAAAATATTTCTCTGAAGTAATCTAATAGGCAAAAAATTCATTGGGATTGGCAATATTACTTTGACATCTTAAAATGTTTTATTAGTTTTCGCGCTAATTTCAAAATGTGAGCTTACATTGTGCTTTATTGTAAAAAAACCTTTAGTTTTTTGTAATTTTGAGTTGTTATTTAGGAAGTGGTTTCAAAAATGAAAACCGCCGTTGAGTTTCCTTTTAATGTATTGGTCATTAAACTTTGAAATGTTTTAAATTAGGTATCTATATCTGAGAAAACGATACGTCGGATCTATGAAGAGATGGAGATCCCATCTGACTCGACTGAAAATGTGATCAGGTTTACTCCATCTGATAGTATAGAGAATTTGGTTGCGCGAATTAATGATATACGTAAGCAGTGCGGATCAGTTTGCTTAGAGAAAAAAGCTAGTCACGCAAGAAGCGCAACTGCAGTTGCTAAAAATAGCATTTGGCAAAACCTGGAACAAGATCTTCGAAAATGTGTTGGAGAACTGGTAAGTGAAGTAAAGTCCAAAGAGTTAGCCGTTGCTTCGAGCGCAGCAAAAAAGCAAATTATTACTGAGTTTCGAGCCAGCAACCGTAAGGAATGGGATTGCTTGGACCTGAAAAGTCTTTTGAGGTCAAAACTGAATGACAAAGGCTTCAAATGTTAACCTCCATACGATCGAATTTTATGACAAATTTTTTAAAATAACATTATATTGTCTATCTCTGTGGAGTTATTTTTTTTTTTTTCAAGGCATGTTGCTTTAATGATTATGCATTCAGATTGTGTTTGCTTCACTGCTATCTTCGAGTGTTGATTGTTCCAGCTCTTTGTTTGAGTGATAAATACTTTTTAGTCTTTTTTCAGCCGATGGAGCTGTAAGAAACTAGAAGCATGTTCTTTTGCTTTTACTTATATCTTTCAATAGTGTTCAATAGTCAAGGTACTGGGAAGATGCGAAGTGGAACCGTGACTTGAATATGGAAAAGAGGAATAATCTGCTTTAATTGTGAATGTACATGTTCGAATGAACAAGCGTTTTTTTTTTTTACGGTTTACTTTAGTGGTTCTTTAGTGGTCTAGGAACTTTTAATATAATGCAGAAACTTAAAATTTTGTTCTATTTGTTCTTAAGCGGTAAAGGTGAGCCTTGCATGTACTTTTTAATCTTTTTATTAATAAATGCTGACGGACAACATAAGAAAACAGTGTGAAAGCGTTTTGTAAGAAGAGGATAGGAGGCTTGCACAGATTATTGTTCTTTTATAAATTCTAAAACTTTATTTATTTGTAACATTAATGACAGTCTTTTTCGCATATTTTTGGGAATTTGAGTATGCATATATATCGTATACATGTTGCTGATGGATGGATTTCAGGGAGAAGTTCATCACTAGTTCTATAGGTTAAATGAAAAATTTTGCAGTTTGAAGGTAAATGTACTCTGTAACTAAGGCTGTGGTCTCAGTCTCAAAATAAATTAAGGTAACATTTGCATTTTCAGACAAAAAATTTTTATTAGGAATATAAGGTTTACTTTGGTACAGCACCTGCGGTCGAAAGACGTTTTTTTAATGGATGATAGTAAGGTCTTCCGTAACCGGTTGTCTGATGCCGTATGGTAAGCCGAGACGTTTGTAAGAGGGTGGATTATTTAAAAAACTATTGGTAAGTTTTTTTGGTCTGTTGTAGTGACTTGAGATAAGTCCATTGAGAGTAAATAATTTGTGGTTGATGCGTTGTTTTTTTGGTCTGCAAGCTTGTTGTATGGCAGTCTGTGTTATTTATATTTGTACGTGGTTTAGAATGTCTTGTGCTAAAAATGTCATTTAGTTGTTGTGGATTTTGTGCATGTTAAATCAATGTAGTTGCTAGACGGCTAAAGTGGTTTTTTGCTTTTTGGTGTCCTGGTGCTTTGATGTTGATAAGCAGACAAAAAACTGTGAAGGTCATGTCATGTCTGGCATCTGATCAAAAGTTCTTCTAACCTATGCATAAAGCATGAGTTAATACTATGTGGGGCGAGGAGAAGTTCCTCAATAATTTGTTGCCAGTTGTTGCAATAGGTTTTTCTCATTGGATACGGTAGGAAGGATGAAATCATTTGGGAAATTATCAAAAATTTATGCAAAATGAATGTAGAGTATATGTGCATCAACTACTTAGTACTTCTAGTTTCGTTCTCATTTTTACATTGCTTTTTGATAAGCTGTTGTGCCCAGCACATATCTGGAGACTTAAATTTAAGGAAGTTTGGAAATTGTTCCGGCAGTAAAATTGTTTCTTCTCTCTTTAAGTAGAAGAGAAGAAAGATTTACATGTAAGTGTAGGAGGTCGCTTTAAGAAGGATGAAGAATTGTGCAGGAAGGAGATCTGGTAGATTATTTATGCTGTCTTTCTCGTGCTCTTTATAAGTGGGTTGCTTGGCCAGAGTTGATTTGTTGGTTTCAACTATAGATGTTGTTTCAGAATTTGTGAAGATTGAAATAAGAAGATGCATAGTATTTTTAATGGTTCCTGTGGTGCTGTACTTGAAGTTTAGTATG